AAGACGCATCCTTAAATATTGTACGCAATTCACGAGAACATCCAGAACATCTCAAACAACCAATATGCCATCGAAAATGTCCATATTTATAGCATTCTTCTTCAACTGTAATGCGACACGCATGACATAAATCTGATGTTGCCTCACCATCTACATTAGTTACTTTATCTTGCTGACTACCTTTGTTTGTAAGTTCGGAAAGTTTATTTAAGAACTGTACTATTGCCGTAGCATTTTCAAAATCTCTTTCCTTTATATTTATAAGAATATAAATAAATAAATCGGATAAAGTATTCAATAAGAAAGGTAGTTTTATATTAATATATAGTTACCAATTTCAATGCACCTGTAAGCGCGATCCTAATTAAAATTTTCAAATAATGTGCTAATCCTGTCACTAGAGATAAGAGTTCCTGTGTTATACCCAATCGTCTGACGTCCGTTTCTTGTGTATTTGACAATAGAGAGAAAAAATTAACTATTTTCTTGCAAAGCATTTTTGCTTCCCTATTATGTTGAAGACCTAAAAATATCAACAGATCAAGATAAAATTATTTTTCGTGATTAATAAATAATAATTATTATTGCTAAATATCTTAACAAACCTTGTCCACTTGCTTTTACTAATTGAGCTTCCAAGTTATCGATAGCAGTGAACAATATTTCAACGTGATTGATAAATTTTTCTGCCATTTTCACGCCATTAAAATAAGATCCATTTGACACGTGTACAAGCATATCCGAAATACATGCCGCTGACATTTCTTCAAATGTAGAAAGCACTGTCCATATATTGTAAACTTTTTCTTCCATGGCTTTTTGTTGATTTTTAAGTTCTTCGGGTGATGAAATTTCAGGTTCTGGTTGATCAACTAAAATTTCATAAAAAAGGAATTATGATTACATACCGATGTATACAAGAAAAAAAGATATTCTTTAAAAAAATTAAATTAATACCATTTTCCAAACCTTGCATATCATCTGGATGGGTGGATAATTTTACATTCCAAAACTAAGCCACATTTAGTAATAATATTATTAGTCAAATTGATGTAATACAAACTCACAGGCACATCCATCAATTAAATTGATAAAGTTTTCCTCATGAGTTAAATATAAGAAAGCATGTAACTAATTCGTAAAAAGAAAATACCAAGGTAATTTTTTTCCCCAGGGTAATAAAAACAAACATAAGTTTGCAGATAAAAATTCAGCATACCTTATGGATCATGTAACATTCAGGATGCCAATGTTCGTCGATACTATTTCGATTAATTTCTACAAATTGTTTTAAAATGGCAGTTTGGCAACCCGTACATTTGACTGCAAATCGAGTGGAGTAATGGTAATGGCAATAAACCTGTCCGTCATGTTCGTAATACGAATCTTGAGGACCAAACACTGTAGGGCAAGCAGAACATGTAAAGTGTTCAATGTGATACTTTTTATCAAGAGCGGTAATATAAGATCCTCGAAGTGCACCACCACACTTTTCGCAGATGAGGTTTAAACGTCGAAAATAGTCTCGTTCGCATAAAGGGTGATGTTTTCCTTCTAAACCGTCTATTGGAAAAAATTTAGCAGCGACAATAGTTCCACAGTCCTATAATATAAGTGATTCAAAACAGTTATAATATGTAAGAGTTTAGAAATAGAATTCTTTTATAAATACGATGATTGGTCACCTGGCATTTGAAGCACTCTAAATGGTATGTCCCTCCCAATGCTCGTACAAATTGTCCAACTATTAGGAGTCCACATTTCGCACACGTTGTAAAGGCTTGTTTACTATTACTGACTTCTTCTGGAACTACCTCACTACGATCCGACATTACTTTGAAATTATAACAGTCGAAAAGTACAAACGCTGATGGTACGTCAAACTTGTAGAGAAACTAAGGCAGGTGGAATACAAAAGGTTTAAACCATTAACGCACTAAAAAATGGGCGAAAATGATCGCAAATGTAACTCAAATTATTATAATAAGTGAGTAAGTTGAAAAAAAAATGATATTTTAAAGATTAGTGGTTCATTCACTTCGCTTCGCCCCCATTTGCAATGTGTTCAACCAACGTAAGTAGTACAAGGCTAGCCACATTTATCATTCCTCTAATTTAGGAGATGACGTTCAATAACTACTTGCTATTTTTAGTAACAATTCTTTCAATCGGAGAAAAAAATAGATTAATTATTTGAAAGATTTGCAAAATTGCAATGTATGAAATGCGTACAAATTTCCATAAGCAAACGGCGAAATCCGATACGAGTCTATTTTTAAAAAAAAAAAAAACATTACTGATGAATGACAGATAAAAAAAAATATAGACTTTTCATTAATTTATTTAAATGAATTCAAAAATAAAAATTTTGACACATGACTATTAACATCATATGACTCAAAAATATATATTTCGATCAGCGTTTTGTTATTTGTACCAAGTCCAAACTACAATGTCTACTGATACAAACGAGCTTGAAAGATTTAGGGAAAAATGGAAAGCTGAAATTTCGAGGCTAAATAAGAAGGATGCTCAATCCAAAACAATATCTAACGTGAGCGTATCCAGCACTTTAGTTGATGCCAAAAAGGTTCAACCTTTGGAGGATATCACTGAAATTGGAACGTCGAGTACGTTTGAATCAACAAAACCTGTTCCTGATCCAAAAGCCCCAAAGCATAAAGCCTTGGAGATTTATGTAAAAGCCGTTACGAATGAAAGAGAAGGAAATTTAAACGAAGGTTGTTCGGAATTTACAAATTTAGATTTTTTTTTTTCCTTTTAAAAAAAAAATAGTAGTTTATAATTATGCTCATTCTCATAACGGTCTTTTATTTGTTGGAAGCTCTTATAAATTATCGTCAAGCCTTGAAACTCGATCCTACTGTAGAGAATTCTTACAAGAAGCAACTCTATAGTGTAGTTAATGATAAAAAAACAGAATCATCCAATTTTTTTGTCAAACATTTAGAAGAGCTTCCACAATTTCCTCACGTTTTCATTGGGGAAGATTATGAAATAGGACGATTTGGTACTAAATCTTCTGCACCAAAATCAAAAGAAGATAATAATATTTCTAATTTAATAACCAGTTTTCGAAATTTGCAACTTGGTTTGTTACCATTGAATCCTAATAAAAGAATTGATATTGCCAAACTTCCTAATGAATTAATAGTTTGCATCCTTCACCAGTTAATAGCTAGAGGAGATGTGACTTCACTTGAGAGGTTTGCGTTAGCATGTAAGAAATTCTTTCTTTTATCTAGAGAAGTTTCATTATGGCGTTACTTATGCGAGAAGGCGTATCGAAATAATTATTTGTCACTTGATGCTTCCAATTCTTTATTGGAAGAGTACGTTAAATTATATTATCATAGTGATTGGAGAAAGATGTATATTGAAAGGTAAATAAGTAAAATATAATTATTATTTATTTTCATAACATTTTTATTAATTTATTTCTCGTCAGACCACGTATACGATTGGATGGTATTTACATAGCTATATGCAATTATTTAAGGTAGGAAAATAAAATTTTTCGTATTTCTTGGATTCATCAATTTTAATTAGATTCTTTTTAAATTGATTAGACCTGGATCTTCAGAAAATGCATGGAATCGACCCATTCATCTTGTTACCTATTATCGATATATTCGTTTTTATTCCGATGGTTCATGTATTGCTTTGATGACGACAAATGAACCCATAAATGTAGTAAAAAATTTTGGACCCAATTGCAAGTCCAAAAATTTTATGAAGGGTAAATGGGAATTAAGCGATGACCATATATTAATGATTCGAGCGAAAGATTATGGCTTACCCAAGTTTACTTTTTATTCGACTTTTGATTTAAAGTCAACACATCGAGGAAGACATAATAAGCTTACGTGGATCGGTAAGAAATAATATGAATTTAATGAGGCAAAAAAAAATTTTTTTTTTTATTTTTATTAATTATTTATAATTTCATAGAATATTATGATATAAATAATTTTACTGATGAAAGAACTGATATATCACTAAATAACGAAAAACATTATTTGTTTAGTAAAGTAAGTGTTTCTCATTTGATAATTTCCTCTTTTTTTTTTTTTTATGTTATTTATAATCAAATCTTTTTTTTTTTTTAAAAAAAAAAAAAAAAAAATTTATTAGGTAAAAAGTTATGTTGTGTCGTGGTAATATACAAAATTTATTTATAATTTTAGCATTACAATATATTATTGTTTTTTCCAAGTCAGTTTTCCTAGCAAAATTATAAATTTTGATTATGTTTCAAAATTTAACTTTACAAGCGTATATATTTATTATATATTTTTTTACTATTACGTGTCCGCAATTGTATATTATTAAATTAAATTTTACACGGGTGGAAATATACGAAATATACGTGATATTTAACGCCTAAATTAAAACCTATCAGGTAATAACAGCCTAAGCTGAATCCTATTTTGGAGAGTGAGCACTATTGACATCTTTGTCAAGATTTGTTTTGCATTAGGGACATTGGACCCACCTAGTTTTTTATGTATATAACCACCGAATCCACAAGTTTTGCTTTGTGCATTCTTCTGTACAAATTACTACTTGATCACCCACGTGCCTTATGAATCAGAAGCTGTCAACGCGAAAATGTGACCCAGGGACGATGATTTTATGATGTGATAAAACATAAATTATTTAACCAAATTATGTGATATTATAATTTTACTTTTTTAATAAAATTTCTATTTACTGCGGATTATGCGTTTGGTTTCGAATTATGTGATTTTATGTGTGAAATGAAAAATTATCACCGTCCCTGATGTGACCCCTATACACGTCTTGGAACCAATGCGTCGTTGCCCGCGTCTATGAGACCGAAATTCTGGTAATAATACTATATGATAATTTTCGACATGCCAAGACAACTCCCATGAAATATAACCAAGACGAAATTATTGCATTGTTTTATTTTTGCTAATCTTCGGAATTTTATTATCAGTATTAATTGAAAACTTCTATAGATTCTGGCGCTTTGGGGGTGTAAGAGGTGCTAACGTTTGGGCTTTATTTTTAATTTTGCAGTGTGTAAAAAATAAGAATTTTGCAAATATGTATTTAAATTTGTTATTAAATTGAATGCTACATGAAATATAATGCATATAGTAAATCAATACAATAGAAAAAAAAAACCGCGTGCTCTCTTGTTTGAATATTCAAAGGGTTCTATATGTGGAGGGTATGGGTAGTAAACAAAATTATTTCGGATCTCATCATTAGCCAATTCCGGAAATTCTTCACAGAACTCTTCATGTGACCTAAAAGTCTTTCTTTTTCTAGTTTTTTCAATTTTCTCTCCTATATCTTCCTTAATTGCTTTAAACCTTGACGTCAATTCACTTGCAGCACTCAAATTTGGATTTGAATCTCTGGTAATTACGAGAAGAAAATACAGGCCCGAAGAAAACGTCAAAGTTTTCTTGATGAATCAAAATACAATCATTAGGAGCCATTGATCGTCATGTAACCCGGCTCTAACTTAGCAGCTTTTCCCCCTTTTGCAGAAAGATCCAAGCATGGAAATTGATGCTTTGATTTATAAATTTTAACAGGTTCGAAATTGATCAACAGGTTCAGTGTAATATCGTTACCCTGTGCACCACGAAAGAAATTCTTAAGTTTTAATAATTTGTTCTTGTTCAGCACATCGATCATAGTAATGTGTGATGATATAAAATCCGCAATAAAAATTTTCCAATTCTCCCATGACCAATCTGAATAGGTAAATATGCTATGTTTATATTTCTGTGAAAATTCCAAGGATATTAACATAAATATATACATAAAGAAGTATGGTATATCAATTAGAACTTTATCTTTTCCTTCCAATTTCCTTAATATCAAGTGCCTATCATGCTCCAAATGTTCCAAATTTTCAGTGGAGTCACCATCTTGTAGTTCATCAGAAATATCTGATTTGATTACCATAATATTTCTGTAAATAAGCTCGTATACGAGCATTTTATGATCTTTAGCATAAGTTTTAATTTTATATGCCCTATTAATATCGTTTGCGACATTGGCGTAGATTGTTAATGGGATTAGGATCCTTTTTTCGAGATTTTCAAAAAATTCCTTAATATTTATAAAATTTTGCCCGAAAAGTTCTGTAAAAAGAAACTCCAAAGCACGTGGAAGACCACCTGTATCAAGAAGTAACTGATGTATCCAAATTTGTGGTACCCACACATTATCAGAAACATTGTAACTTGTTGCAAATTCTCTCATGATATTAAGACGTGACTCCAAGGACAGCAGTGGAAGGTCAATAAGTTCACAAGAATACATTGTAGATTCTATTGCTCATATCGCATCCTGTGACGCTGTACCTGAAAGTAGAGTCTGTACAAATATGTTTGGAATTCCTCCAGTCATATGATGCCCAAGTTCATACATTAACTGCTTAAATAATTTAGCTCCTTTATCTCAATCTTTAAAAATAAGCTGAAATTCGTCAATTTGAAGAAAAATGAAAAGACGTTTTTCAGGCTGAAGATTTTTATATTCAAGTTTATAGATGTACAAGAGAACATTACTCAGCGTAAAAAGTTGCTTATATTCATTAGCTTTTATACAGAACACTGGAAAATTCATTACATATTTTTCGTGAACCAAATAGTGGAATGCCAACCGCAATCCAAGAATGATATCTGGATATCTTCCTGGATTTCGTATTCATTTAAAGCAAAACCATTAGAGAAATCAAGAAGCATGTAAATCATGTTAGGCTTTTTGCAGTCTTTTTTTGATTTCAACCATTCTTTGTTGAAACAATCAAATAATTCAATTCCATAACATGTTTTTCCTGATGAATTAAGGTTTGAATTTGTTATAGAAGGTTAAAACTGCAATATCTGCTGTAAAAACATATGAAAGTTACCTATGCCAGGTACCCACCACATAGGAGGAATCGCTAGTTTGTCTTTGCTGTAATATATTGTTTTTCATTCTATACAAGGCATAACAAAAATTCACGTCAATCACACCAATAGCTTGCTCAAAGTTACGTTGTTTTAAGGCCATGGACTTGGGCTTATAATTATCTACATTGTCTATGGTCATTGGTTCACGAATTCCCTCCAAAAATCTTTGTTATAGCATCTTCAATCGATGTCACTATATTTTATGAATGATAATAAAGTACAATTATTAACTAATATACGGTGCAAGTAACTATATGTATCAATAGTGGCAGGCCAGAATACAAAAACTAAGATAACACGCCTTGCTATAAGGTAACCTGCTTTAACGCGAAAAAAAGAGATCAAAACAACTCGATATTTTATTATTGCAAATTTCTTGTTTGAGAGGTAAAACATTGGAGACATTTACTAGTGGAAGTGGGGACTGCAATGATGATATGAACGTGTTTATCTAAAGGATCATCCGGAAAATAATCATCTTTAAGATTATATGCTGGATGCATAAACAAGGCTTTAAGTTCCTCTTGTTTTCGTTTAATATCCTCCTCAGTAAAAATATCTTTAATCTTGCTTTCATCTTCGAGTTTAATTTTAACCTTCTAAAGATTTATTTTATCAGGATCTTCAAAACTAAACTTAAGTCTATTATTGGAATAGATATGTCTCTTAAGGTGTAAAATGTTGGCATTGTTAACGGGAGCTCCCGTATTATCTACAATAAACGTATCAGGCACGGTAAGCGAGAAAATTTTTTCAAAGAAAATTTCTCTTAGAAGTAAACAATTTAATGAAAATAACATTTTGGGGATATGATAAATTAAGGATAGTTTAGAAGAAAAGGTTTCAAGGAAGTTTGAAAATTTTTGAGTTTTAGGATATATATATATTTATTTATTTAACTTTACTGAATACATCGTGATATAAACTTTTGCATAATCCAGACTTATCGTTATACTATAGCAGATCACCAGTTATTTAATTTTATGCGTAGTAGATTATGCTGTATATATTATTATTTGTATCACTTGTAAAATGCATATATAGTTTTAAAAATCAAACAAATTATCTTTTGTAAAATAATACGTGAGAAAGAGCAAGTAAAAATGTATGAAAAAATGACTTCTTAATATTATGGTTCATCATGAAGGTGCGCTCTTTTGATTTTATTTACATATTGAATTAATAGTTCTGTTATAGCACTCACTATAGTACACATTTATCACGATGTTTTTGTTGCAATGAAAATCTGAATTAGAAAATATAATTATACAACACACTACATATAAGAATACATAAGTAAAATATGAACAATCAAAAGTAAAAATACTTCTTTCAACATCTTTATATCATTATATTCATATTGTAGAGGCACAGATGATAACATATAATAACCAAAGACTTATTTATCATCGACTAATTTGTTGATATAATAGTCATTATTAATTTGTTATTTTAATGTTAGAATCGATAAATATATACTTTTTGGTGTACAAACCTTTCTATAGAGATATCACGCTCTCTAAGGTTATAATCTTCAAGATCATCATCATCATATGGTATTTCCAGAACTTTTGAAAGAATTTTTGAGGTTTCATTAACAGCCCAATAAAAATCGTAATTAAGTTCTTGATGTAATTTTGTTGTTAAGTTTGAGAATTCTATTAGGATTCTACCTACAACTAAGGCCTCCTTAGAAATATATAAAATTAAAAATAAAGGTAAAAGAAAAAGAGTAAATTTATTCATCGCGGGGGGGATACTCCTTATACATTGCCTTTATATATATCCTTAATCCTAACCTAACTAATTTCTAAGTTTCCAGAATATATATGAAAAATGAAAAAGGGAGGGTGTGATACGAATGACAAAAAGGAGGCGATGATATCACGCTGGCAATGAATAAATTTACTCAAAAGAAAAAACAAGAGGGCAATTGACTTACTTTGTTGAAGATTCTGCAAGTGAGAGATCGTATTTTGGTTCAAACTGATCTGGTCAGGTTTTAGCTCTATATTGTTTATTAAGGAGAAACACTGCATATTGTATGTCTCCAACAACTGAAGTACCCGAAATGAAGAGAACTTTCTCTTTAGCTTTAGCATATGCCTTGGCACACTTGATGAGTGTTTGGCGATGTGTCTTAAAGTATGAAAGATTAAAGCAGGATTAGATACATGGCTTTCTTTGGCAACTGAAGAACTGGTTACCTCATCTTCTTCACTACATGCTACTTTCTCTGGTTTCTTTTCTTTGCATTTGAAAACACGTGTACGTTTGAAAATACGTGTATTTTGGCTTTTTCTAGTTGCAAGTGGTCTGGATTTAACTTCTCTAGGTGCTTTACAGTTTCTCGCAAAATGTTCAGGCTGTTTGCAGTTGAAGCAAATTTTATTGTTTTTATTGTCATTTATGAACGTCTTGGCTATAGAAAAAACAAAGAAAAAGATTTACTCAATTAACTACTTATATGGTATTAGTCGCATGGATATTTGCACGTGATTACAGTAGCACAGTGGCTCATAGGAAGACTTTCATGTGATTGGCTGATAAGGTTACACGAATTTTATAGTTGATATTGTAATTATTTATATATGGCATGTGATATTATTATACATAATATTAAACTGTACAAACTATTTAAACTATATTTAAAAGTTAAAATTTAATTTTAAACTTAAATTTAAAGTTTATGTATTATTGAATATAAGCTATATTAAAGTTTCTGATATTAATTTAAAATTAATATACTTATAAACTCTGAAAAAATTGAACTGCACCGTAATATACTGTAACTACGCCATTTAACGATCATTTTGAAGAATCTAATTTCGTTTCGATATTTAAATAATTAAAATAAAAATAGTTTTTAGTTTAGCAATTTATTTTTATAATATTTATAATTAACAATTTTGTATAATTTTAATTTTTTAGACTAATTAGACTAATGTAAAATCAGAAAATTATTGAGTTAAATAAAGCCGGATTACTAATTAACTAAAATTAAAATTCTTATTTATTATTTATAAATATTATTGTGATTGAAATTTTTGTAATGCTTCTTCCAATGTAAATGTCATACATCCTACAGGTTCATTTTCATCGTCATCATCACAAAGAATATTATCATCATCCTTTTCAACTTTTATTTTGTCAAATTGTTGCAATCGTGTTAGCAGGAACTGGACATTTTTATCAACGCCATCTTGTAAAAATGAGAGGCAATATGAATACTTGAATCCATTATTATCATAACAAACTTTATGATATGTATGGCCGCAAGATAAAACTACAATCAGACCTGTATGAATAGATAAAGAAATAGAAAAATTAGTAGTATCACTATAATAAAATGGATTTGGCTTATGCGAAGTACAGAAACCTAAAAGAAGATGACATAATTTTGCTTCTGGCATTTTCATTGCAGCTAGAATTATAATATCATTATTAGATTTCTTTTTCTTTTTTGAAGATAAATTCGTAACAACAGTCTGTAATGAAAATATTAAAGATATTTTATCGTTAAAAAGCGTACATAAATATCTGAAAAACATTGTAATAAAAGCATGCACTCTTTTTGTTAAAATTGTAATATCACGTGTAGAATATTCATATGCTACCTATGTTGATGTGTGTGCAAAGTTCTCTCTGAAACCATTATCATCTAAGCATAATTGATTAATATAACGCTCATATTTGATAATCTATTGCGCTTCTGTATGTTTCTGTGTATTTTTACGTAAGAAACTATGAAAAATCTCAATAGTTACATCTGAAAATTTTAGAAGTTCAGCCTTAATAACCTCTAGGATTAGATGATTATTTGACTCCCAATAAAAAATATTAGACAAAAACATTAATGGTGCTTTATTATAGTTTTTGCGTTGAAATCTAAGAAATATTGTTCAAACCTGAAAACAAGATTCCAAATAAGCATTAAAATCACCAGACTGAAAAAAGATAGCATAAACATCTAGAACCAAAGGAATTATATTATCAAGAAGATCCTTCAACGTGAGGTATTCGGCATCTTTGCATAAGAATCCAAATTTTTCTTCAACTACTTTAGAAATTTTCTGCTAAGCATTATGAGAAATCTCTAAAGTAGATTAATACATCATGGTTTAGGTTTTTGTGCAAGAGGCCTTCATTCTTCAAATATATTCTTATACATGGCTGAAAAAAAGGGCTGGTATTAAAAGAATACTAATTCTTAGCTGTTTAATGAAATATGTAAAGGACCTATAATAGGAATAAAGGATAAAATTGAATTAGTAATATTCGAAGAATCATTATAAAGTAGATAATGAGAAATAGCAGTTTTAAGATAAATTTGACCTGACCAATCAGCAACAATGGGAATAACCTATTCTTTTTGAATGTATTATTTCATAGATGGAATATTTGTAACAGCATCAATTGCTTTAATATATGCATTTAAAGAATGTAGATTATTTTCTTGTAAATCTACAAGAATAACATCCTTCATAGAACGAATAATACGTTTTTCTTTCAATCTAATATCATAACTATGTACTGTTAACTCCTCTAATTTTGTATTATCATTAACTTCGCGAAATCTCTAACGTTGATTATGTGATAATCCATAAAGTATCATGAATTTATTTTCTAAATTCATTTTGATCAATTTAGCATCAACCAGTATGGGATTATGTATATTTGATTTTAAAATTGCATTTTGAGTAGTAATTGGATTCATTAGAATTGTTGTCAAATGTGTCGCAGTAGATGTAGTAGTCGTATTTGGCATTTGTTTTGTATGAATGCTATGGTAATCATTAATGTTTAATATTATTGCTCTATCTATATGTTCAGTAAGTGCAGAATTGACAGTTTCAGCATGTTCTTCGGATGCGGCAATTTTGCATTGTATAACTGTACGAGATGTTGTAGTTATATCTAAATTTGCAAGAGTATCAATAGAATTGTTAGAAACATCAGTAGAATCCAAATATATCATCAAATCCTTTTTTGCATTATTGATAAACTTATTTCGAATTTCACAAAGAAAATAGCATATAAATAGAAGCTGTTTCTTTGCTCGTACCTGTGAATCCTTATTTTTTGAAGATGGATTAGATGAAAGATACAATTCATAGAAAAATAGTTTTAACTTTGCATCCTTTGCTTTCATAACTGTTCGAAATTCGTCAAATGAATATAAAGTTGATTCCTTTTCTTTATTTTCACGAGTATGTAGGATATTTGTTATAATTTCTATTGCTTTAGAAAAAGATAAAATAGAGTTAAATTCAGTTTCAAGCTTACGCCATTTCACATTAGTTTCAGCATATTCTTTAGCATGTTGCTGAAATTTAAGAGAGTTATTTGTAATAATTCTATTATAACAATTTAAACAAATTGTATCGCTTTCTTGAACATAACCCAGTAAAGTTTCACTAGCTTGACCTTTAGTCAAAACATTCTCAGTTACTCTTTTACATTGAGTCAATTTTTTCTAGCATATAGTAATTACACAAGATCTGGTAATAGCATTTGATAGTGACATTGCCTTCTAAGTAAAGTACTTTAAGGATTCTGATTATTTTTTGATTATTTTACACAGCGAATATTGACGGTCTTTTAAAACTGAAAATGAAATTTTTTTTATGATACACTAATGATAATATCATAAATTAAAAAAGTATTTTAAACTGTATAAATTCAATTGAATATGATCAGCCAATCACATGAAAGTCTTTCTATGACACAGGAGCGCATAAATTTTTTCAAAAATTTGTTTCGCATTCAATAGTTTAAGCCTGCTAGGTAACTTTAATATTAAATAATGGAGTTTTAACTTTAAACTTTAAATAATAGACGTGACTTTAGCTTTATCAAACAAATCTTCTTTAAAGAGAAGCAAGAGAATATTTATAATCTTTTTTTTAACGTGTGGTAGCTTTGCACAATTAAGAGAAACATTTATAATAAAATTTAAACTTCAAATAATAAACGCGAATTTGCTTAATTGAGCAAAAAAAAATTATAAAAGTAACTACTCTTTATGTATGTATACACCAAAATTGGCACTTTCTACCATAATTTTCATCTGAAAATTTTTGGGTCGCAGATCTGTAAAGGTCTGCAATTTTATAATTTCTATGCAATTCTTTGATACAATTCGGCAATGATCTGTAAATACAGATCATAGTATTTTTTTTTTAAGAAGTTTCAGTAAGAAATATGCAAAAATGCATATTGGCTAATTTTTTATACTGCATATTTGTGCAGATATGCAAAAATGCATATCGGTTAATTTTTTATATTGTATATTTGCACAGATATGCAAAAATGCATATTGGCTAATATTTTATACTACATATTTGCACAGATTCATAAAAATGTAATATTCTGAATAAAACATCTGTAGTAACCTCAAAAATTCAAACAGTCGTAATTTTTCAAATATGAATATACTTCAATCTGCAAAAATTCAATACATCAAATAGGATCTGTAAACATAATAAACTTTCAGATAAACTAAAATCTTAACTTTTTCAAAGTTTATTTAATTAAACTAAAACTTTGAAATTTTTTTTTAAAAAAGTTTTTCTTTTTTTTTTTCTTTCGTACACCAACTGAAGTTTTTATAATAAACTATATTCCAATGATAACTTTGCTAGCCAGTCAAGCCCAATAATACTTTAACTGACAGAATATCTAGTGTCTTTTTATTAGAATATATATTTATTTAGTAAAAAATTATTTTCTTTGTCAAACCTCAGCATGACATGTACTTCTTGACTAATAGAACCAATCAGAATTGCGCTATATTCTTTCATGTAAAATAGTTGCAGACAATCATAAAACTCAGGTTCTATTTGGTCAATATTAAACCAGCGAATAAGAACAAGTTCGTATGGTTCTTTGAATGGCCCTCGAAAGAATTTAAATAGTAACAATACCTAGAAGATGTTCTGATATCTATTAAAGAAAAAATTACATTCAACATTCTTTAAAATTTACTTATTTTTTCATATCACGCGTCCTCATCCAAGTTGTATTGATCTTGATCTTCTGCAGGATTTACTGCCACGTTACTGAACCATTCTTTGTCCTGGTACCCTTCAGAAGTTCTTAAAATCTTATTACTTTCCAAATGAACTGATTCATAAATTTTAATATAAAACTCATTATTTTCATTCAGAGCTGAAATTATTTGGGATAATCCTTCGATAAAATTCATATGCAGCAGATTTTCTGATTTCTTAAAGTCCTTTATTTTTTGATCGATAGCATCTAGACGTAACTCCCAAAGAATTTTTCCAAACCCTTCGGTTTTATGTTAAACAACTTTAGGAATCACTAGAGAAAATTCACTATATTTTGCCTATAATATTAATATACTAAATTAAAGATTAATTATATTTAATTATTTGGAATATAATGATGTCTGTTCAGATTTATACTAATGGCATTTATTAATTGACGCATCACATTTTTCCTGTTAGAAAACCGGTAAGGATTTTTGACATAATACTTGTGAAGAGTCTCATAAGTTTTTATTAACAGCCCATTTAATGCTCCATATTTGTAAATTGCAGGGACTAACAAAATCAGATTAGTTATAAGAATATATTTACAATCGACTAATATACAGTTACCTGTATGATATTGCCAACTGTGCAGTTTAAGAAAACTACATGCCGTTAATGATAACAAAGAGAATATTCTCTTAAAGTCAGTAGTCCAATCAATAATTAATTTCTACTAACAGAATTTGTTAATATTTTGCTAATTTTAACTAAGTTTTAACTAAAAATACAATCAATTACCTCAAATTTTTTTATATCATTTTCTGTATATGATGCTTTTCTGCTCGTCATATACATTTTACTAAATTTTAAATAAAGTTCACAAAGTTCATCACATGTTATTTCGTTCCATTTGTTAAAGATATCATTTAGAGCAAAAAAAGCGATTTTTATTATATTTCGATAATCTGACGTGGTATGGTGCAGATCATTTATAAATAGAAATAAATTGTATAACTTTAAAATCTTAAAACTTTTGTTCTACATGATATAAAAAAAAACAATCCGTAATAATGATAATATAGACAATAGAGAATAAAAGTTACGGTTTCAAATCTCTAGTTGATTAGAAATTTTTTGAGCCTTAGGCATTTGAAAATTGGTAATTTTCCTATAAAATGTTTAAATTTCAGACTTGTGATTTATCATGTGATAACGATTTTGTCCAATAAAATGAAATTAATCACGTAAAAATTTGTAACATGATGATAACAACGATGATGAATTTTAATTTATAGGTTGAATGGACTTTTTTTTAAAAAAGTTTTTCCAGCATGCTCCGACTTAATAAAAGAAAAGCTGTACTAAAAAACGCAACCCAGAATAAAATAGGAAAATTTTCCATAGAACTTGAATAAGTTTATAAATCATTCAACCTATTTATAAGAATTATTTAAATAAATTTATTTTTATTTTAGAATTGAGAGTGATACAGAAGGGAATATATTAGAGGAATAATTAGAAACGGGTTTAGATGATATTTTTAGTGAAAATGA